GTAAAGTTATAATTGAAAGGTTGTGTCTGCCGGGTTCTAGATAAAGCCAGTAAATTCCAGAAATTCAGAGAAAACACTTAGCGAGTTAAATAAAAAACGAAGGTTTATGACCGGAAATTCTGGCGAAGCCAAGTTAGACTACCTCGCGAGACGGTGTAATTTGTCCTGGTAAATGCCGCAGACAGTCGGATTTCCATTATTATTTGACACTTGACATAGTTCGACACAGTTCGCGCTATTCAGTTTTCGTAAGAGAACTTTTGAATTGGCAGACGAATTTTAAAATCCTTCTCGTTCCTTTCGATTAACCATGGCATCGTTTGACGGCATGAATAGAAGAATTCGTCGCACACTCCTCGTCTCGCCCAAAATAAACTCATTTTAAACTGTTTTTTGAAAATTTTAAATTTTTTTCTTTTCATTTTCTTTTCCTTTCTTTCAAATTTTCCCTTTTCATTTTCTTTTCCTTTTCTTTAAAATTTTCCTTTTTTTTTTCATTTAAAAATCTTGAGAAAAAATCTGCGGTCCAGAGTCCAGAGTCCAGTCCCGATTTTATAGTAGGCCGACAAATGGAAATTATCGCGCTATAAATGGAAATTATCCCGAGATAAATGGATTTTATAGCGCGATAAATGGAAATTATCGCCCGATAAATGGAAATAATCGCGCGATAAATGGAAATTATCGCGCGATAAATGGAAGTTATTGCGCGATAAGTGGAAATTATTGCGCGGTAAATGATAAATTATCGCGCGATAATTTGTATTACCACGCGATAATTTTTTATCATCGCGCGATAATTTTTATTATTATCGCGCGATAATTTATCATTTATTGCGCAATAAATGGAGGACTAGTTGGGTCACGTAATCGGCTGTCACGCACGTTGTTTCCGTGGACGACAATGGCTCCCACAGTTGAGGAGGTATATCTTGAGGTTAATAGTTCGTTTTATTTACATAAAAAGATCATTTTGCAGTATGTTGCAATACTGCGACACATAGCTCTGTGAATCAGTACAGTAAACCTTGATTTTGCGAAATCTTACGAGACGCTTTCAGGGATGACTGTAAGTGTCTGGAACTCTCTCCCAGACACCTTTAGAGCTTCCAATTTTCCAGACTTTCGGCGCCAAATACTCCTTTGTGTAACTATACTGAATTTAGTAGTATAGTAATATTTAAATAATGTAAAAATTTTATCATCATTAATGTATTATTATTCATTTATTATAGTTTAGCTTATTCCTTTTACTTCATTTTATTCATTCGAAGATATTAGCTTACAGCTACTCTTAAATTCGAGGTAAATAAAGTTTATGTATGTATGTATGTATGTATGTATGTCTGTATGTCTGTATGTATGTATGTATGTATGTATGTATGTATGTATGTATGTATGTATGAATGGATTATCTAATCTTTCTAATTACATTGCAGGTTTATAAATTTCTAGAAGGCAGATGTGTCGACAAGAGCGTTGTTGCCAGGTTTAAAAAACCTTTATTGATAATGAAATTAAACTGCCTTATAAAATTATTGGTTAACTATATATTCAGTCTAATTTTCATCTAATAGACTGCGATCCGAGCCCGTGGAAATTTTGTATTTATTTATATTTTGTGATTGCATGACTTATACTGTTGTGTTACACTAAAACCTTGAAATAAACTTTCATCAGTTGGCTTATCCTCCAGTCTATACTATATGCCCTCTAAATTTCATTGTCATTGCTCAAATATTCTAGAAGTTACGGAGGTGAAGGGGGTCGGAATTCGCTTCCCTCCCCGGTCTGAAAAGATAAAAAAAGCCCGGGCCGAATAGGGTCAAATTACTTCGTGTACACGAGTACACAATGCCCATAGGCTTTAATATCCTCTATTTCGCGCAAAAATGAATACACAGTAGCTTTGACACATTTTTCAGCAGAACTGTCGATCCTCTTTAGCCAGAAAGGCTTCGTACACGAAGAGAGTAGTATTGGGGACACATGAGGCTAGGTTTTCGAGAGTAATTTATTCCCCTTCGAAAAACCACATCGTACAAAAACTGAACTAACTGTTGTCGTTGTGATAAAGTAGACCCACGAAAAGGTTACGGGCTTCTAGAGCATTTGAAGATACTTGCAATTGTTGTTGTTGCATAATTATGTCAATCAATTCTCTGCATTCCTCCAAACAATATGTGGGGCTTGTTCTGTCGCAGCATACACCATCAATCACATCAGAGTCATCCAGGTAAACTTCTGTCCAGTAATCCGTTGCATTTGTCCATGCAGGAACATAATACAACACATCTGGTCGTCCTGAAGGGGATTCTACGTTATGCGAAGGTCTTATTCTGTAAAGATTCCAGTGTATGGTAACTTTGTTGAGTTCTCCTTGAATCAAAGGCATTAAACAGAATCTTAAGCATTCTAAGTGAATTGGGTCATGATCGCAAAAGATACCCAAATCTCTCATGTCTTTAAAAAAGTCGATCCACCAGCTGGCATTACTTTTCTTCAGAAAAGACCACCAAGCCTCTATCCTCTGATTGCTAACTGACTTTCCGTACAAGAAACTTTTATCACCTGAAAATGCATCTTCGCATCTTGACCTCAAAAACCGTTGTATTCCTGCGACATACATACTTTCTGTTCCCGCATCTGCACGCACTATCCTCGGGACTCCACCAATTTTACGAATATAGTCTGTAAAATAGTTAGCAATGATATTTGGGTTGTTGTTTGTACGACCAACTTCGAACCAAAGAATGCGTCGGCTATAACCATCGATAGCTCCATGTATGCAAAACCCAAATGGTTTGAGCTTGTCGTAACCATCTATATGCCAAATGTAGTTGGGTCCTTTACCACGGTATTCTCTCCTTCGTAATCGCTTTGATGATCATGACTATACGCCAGCAGGATCCAATTCTTTAATTATAACTCGTACGGTCTCCTTCTGGACAACAAGACCGTAGTCAGTTCTTAATCGCTGGTGATTTGGCGATAACCAATACTACTCCCACTTCCTTTGAGTTCAGTTTCAATCGCATTTAAAATTTCCTTGATGTCACTATGGTCTTTTCTTCTACGAAGACCCTGACGCCTAAGCACTCGTTTCGGCTGGCGCAAGCTTATTTCAATTCCATGAAAACACAAAAGAAAAGCGAGGATCTCTGAGTAAGCCAGATCGGGAGAAAAGTAGTGATTAATAATATCTTTCTTTTGGAAAGTATTAGGCAAGCCATTGCCAACGTAAGGCGGTAATACAGCACTGAATACTGTGTTGACTGCGTGACTAATATCACGCACATGCTGAGTGCGAAATATCGCGCTATAAAATTTCATTTATCGCGCAATAAATTCTTAATTATCGCGCAATAATTTCTATTTATCGCGCGATAATATATCATTTATCGCGCGATAATTGTTCATTTATCGCACGATAACCTCCATTTATTGCGCGATAATTTCCATTTATCGCGCGATAATTTATTATTTATCGCGCGATAATCTCCATTTATCGCGCGATAATCTTCATTTATCGCGCGATGATTTCCATTTATCGCGCGATAATTTCCATTTATCGCGCAATAATTTTTCATTTATAGCGCGATTATCTCCATTTATCGCGCTCTTATCTCCATTCATCGCGCGATAATTTATCCTTTATCGCGCGATAATTTCCATTTATCGCGTGATATTTTGATTTTATCGCGCGATTAAAAAAAATGTGTCATGTCCCCTATGGGCCACCGTATCTTTGATATTTCATCACTAGATCAACCAAAGAAAAAGCTTTTCGATGTGTTCCAAGGATGTTGAAAACTCTTTTCTTTCTCAAACAAATAACATAAGGAAATAATAAAGTTTCTACGGCTTTGTCATCTAAATGTGATCGACTGCCTCCCCTCCTGCATGAATGAGTCAGTGGCTTTAGTTATTTGCCACCACTTACCATTTTTGCTGTTAGGGTGTTCGTGAGTTTAAAATTTTCCTTTTTAAAAACGAGTTACCTTTGGAGATATTTTGATTCGTTCTTACGAACAAGAAGGGTCTTTTTATGAACCATATATTAGCTTTTAATATCATCGTCATCATCATTATTATTATCTATCATTTTAAATAGGTAGATAGATAATTACGTAGAGTGCTCGGTAGCTAGGTAGTTTTAGATAATTAGATAGATAATTACATAGAGGGCTAAGTAGCTAAGTAATTTTAGATAGGTAAATAGATAATTACAAAGAGGGCTAGTTAGCTAGGTAGTTTTAGGCAGATAGATAATTACATAGAGGGCTAGGTAGATAGATAACTACACAGAGGGCTAGGTTAGATAGATACTTACGTAGAGGGCTAAGTAGCTGGGTAGTTTTAGATAGGTAAATAGTTAATTACAAAGAGGGCTAGTTAGCTAGGTAGTTTTAGATAGGTAGATAGATAATTACATGGAGGGCTAGGTAGATAGATAACTACATAGAGGGTTAGGCTAGATAGATACTTACATAGAGGGCTAAGTAGCTGGGTAGTTTTAGATAGGTAAATAGATAATTACAAAGACGGTTAAGTAGCTAGGTAGTTTTAGTCCGATAGATAATTACGTAGAGGGCTAGGTGGTTTTAGATAGGTCGATAGATAATTACATAGAGACCTAGGTAGGTATAGATAGATAATTACATACAGGTGTAGGTAGGTATAGATAGATAATTACATACAGGTGTAGGTAGGTATAGATAGATAATTACATACAGGTGTAGGTAGGTATAGATAGATAATTACATACAGGTGTAGGTAGGTATAGATAGATAATTACATACAGGTGTAGGTAGGTATAGATAGATAATTACATACAGGTGTAGGTAGGTATAGATAGATAATTACATACAGGTGTAGGTAGGTAGGTAGACAGACAGACAGACACATAGACTGATAGTTAGGTAGATTGATGGATAGCTGGATGAAAATAAATACTTCCATTAAAGTTAGTCATTTCACTCTGATTTTTCTTTCCTTAGGTTAAGCAATAAGTATGAATAATTCAAGTGACAGCGCCACCGAAACTCCTTTGCTATTTGTCACAGAACCGAGCAATATTGCTAGCGCAGTTGCTGTGGGTCTCGTGATAGTACTTACCATATTTGGCAATGCAATCGTATGTGCAAGCTTCTATACATTCCGAGACCTTCGAACAATATGTAACTATTTTGTCCTAAGTCTCGCAATATCTGATGTACTAGTGGCAATATTGGGGATGCCATTTTGGTTAGTATTGCAGCTTACTGATTTATCAAAACAAACCGTCATTCAGGGAGATCTTTATCTCTTCTGGCAATGCATGGATATTTTCTTCGGCACAGCATCCATAATGAACTTGGCAGCGGTTAGTGCTGATAGACATGTGGCAATTACTGCTCCATATTCATATCCTCATATAATGACATCACGAAGAGCATTGATTATTTTGTGTGGTGCATGGATTTACGCCGTAGTAGTGTCTAGTCTGCGACTCCTGGATAAAAACTGGATAAAAACTGGTGGATATCAATATATGGTGTTCATAGCGAGCTTTGCACTTCCGTTGTTGTTCATGATAGCGATGTATGCTAGAATTTATGTTGTTGCTAGGCGCCAAGCTCGTCGAATCGGTCGTAACAGGAACTACACTACAGACGTGAAAGCCGCGAAAACAATAGCGGTGGTGATTGGTGCGTTCGTTTTCTGTTGGGCGCCTTTCTTTGTATCAGTCATTGGCTACATCAAAAACAATAACTTTTATCCTTTGGATGTTTACAAGTGCGCCAAATGGTTGGAATATGTAAACAGCTGTTTGAATCCTATATTATATACTTGTTTAAACAAAACATATCGTCGGGCCTTCAGGAGACTTTTTACTCGATGGCGAGGACGGCTGGAAAGAACTCGTGAAGAGTCACTCACGACTATAGGAACCTTATCAAGGAGGCTCACCTTGCCTAGGGGATCCATTTTTGCCACTCAAGGAGATACGTTTTCCAGCTCGTCCTCAAGGGAGCTTACTAATGGTGAATTAAAAAGGAAGCTTAGCAGAAAAAGCAGCGTTAAAAGAAAAACAGAAAACCCTCCTGTTACGTTCATATAACATCTCTCCTCTTCCAGGGATGGCTGGAAATGGAGAGGGTAATTTACTTCTCTATTACAGTTATAAACCTTGAATTAGAAGCTTGCAGAAAAGGCGAACAATCTAACATTACAAAAAGAAACTGAATAAAGAGTAAGAAAAAAGGAAAAGGAGTAAACACAAGAATCTGAATCTGTCAGTATTCAGTGTTGTCGTTCGCAGGCTGTACAGCCGACATCGCCAATAAGGTCCTCGTTCGTCACGGAGCACCAATGGAAAGTTATAGTTGTCAGTGATTCGCATTGATTCTTGTTGTAGTTTATGGCGACTGACCATGAGTCTTTATGATTTGGTTATCCAAATCGATACTTTATTTTCGGAAATGCTTTTTATGTGACTGTGACCGTAAGTTTGGGTAAAGGAATTGTAGTGAAATGTTGAATAAAACACATTCAAGAGAGTCGCGGGGGGGCACGTTGACGGTTGGCGGTTAAAAATAAGCCCTTCTACGGTCGACGGTTAAATTTTAGGCCATTTGACGGTTGACTGTTAATGTTTTGGAATTTCTTTTATAAAAAGAATTAAGTTAGGCTGTAAATTTTCATAATGACGCGCTTGTAAAGAACCGTTAAGTTATAACACCTTTTATTAATAAATGACTAACGTTTTACGACACCAGAAGTGTTTCCACACCGGAAGTCAGTTCTGTCGCTAACCAGTTTTACTTGCGACTAGAAGTTAAAGGACTTACATAAATGTACTTTTGTGATAAATCAAAACTTTTATTTATAAACAACAGAACTTGACTCCAATTAAGGCAATCGTTTGGTTCTTAATTAAGGATATCTGAGGCATTTGACGGCTAACATTGGCTTGCTTATTTGACGGTTGATGGTAAAACTATTGCGTTTTTGACCGTTGACGGTTAGTATTTTGACAATTTGACGGCTGGCAGTTAACCCCATTGAGACCCTCATTCAATCGCTGTAAATTAAAGCGCAAGTTACGAGAAATCAACGTAGAAACCCTGGGGTATAAGGAAGGGTATGCTTTACAATGGAGTCTACGGATTGACCCCAACAAAATTTTCCCGTATGTAAGTTCCCATAGTTTAGCTTTTAAGGTATTTTTCATAGTTACAAGCTAGCAAATGTTGTGATTATCTTTTTTCTGTTCAGTGTAAGGTGACCAGTGTAAGTAACTGAGCTGGTGACATCAAGAGCCAGTAGGTCAAAGTCATTTAGTTCCAGTTTTCTCAGATAATGATGTCTCTGGCGTCAAAAAAAATAAAGGTAAAAGATGCTTTTGTCAAACCCTTAGATTGGTTTGCTCATGGGCATAGACTTACGCCCTGGCTAAACAATCAAAATTACCGTACAGCGCCGGGTTTGTCGCTCATGAAATAGAAAGAAAGAAAGTTTTAAGCACTCTAAACAACAAACGTGTCTAGTTACAATGATAAGGTTGAGATCGGACGTCAGCATTATCAGGCGCCTCTGGCAGCCGCTTCAGTTCATGTAACGATCTCACCTTCCCTCCCATCCCACCCCAGGGGAGGACATCCACCACACAGTAATCTCGTGCGTGGGAAATTAACGTCTCCTACCCCTAACCCTGCAGGAGACGGGGCCTACGGTTTATTCGTCCTTATCCGAGAAAACTAGAATATCTATCCATTTCTTGATATTATAGAAAGGTAGCAATAGGATGGATAAACGAGCAAATAATTGTTTTAACCAAACATGGAACGCAGATGAGCACGCGCAACCCTTTTTTGCGTAAAATTACTCATATATGGTCTCTGATTGGTTGCTTTTCCCGGGTTGGTATTATTCTTTTCAAAAGTTCCAAAATGGCTTTGGACGGTAACGTTAGGTCATTTAGCCAGGGCTTTCACATTTGTGAAGAATTTCCCTAACAATTTCTCAAAACTGACCATAGATGTACGCTGAACCTTTTCTACTTAATAAGAACTAGTCTCTGTGGGATTCATGCATCTTGGGAAATAAAATGTTCCACCCCCCTTCAAATTTTGCACGTAGTTAGGCACACAGTAGGGATTCACAAATATTCCCTTTTTGAAAGACTGCAGCACTCTTATTGCACTCTCCATCTCAAGCCCAATACAACAATACAAATTGGTACTTCTACCAAACATAGTGATATTATTCGTCTTTACCCTGCTGCATTCAATTTTCCCTGAGAGTGAATGTGAACACACAAATAGAATATTTATTTCGGTAAGGTTCGGTCATTTTCACCGGCTCTAGGATAAAAACAAGGAAAACGTTTCACCTGAATTTCTCCTTTTCTATATGCTTGTAATAGGGGACATATTATCTGGTTTCTGAAGCCCGCTTCGGCTCCAGAGCATCCTTCTTGGATCAAAAGGCTGACAAAGAGAAACAATTCGCGCACTGAATTTTTACTTCTGATGGACTGCATAACTAAAGGTAAAGTTTGGCCTGATACAGTACCTTTCCCTAGGTGACTACCATTTAGAAGTTCCAACCAATGCAGAATAGTTTCCTTTCAATTCCCTAAATTGCAACGATTAAAATGGAATACAAATGATTGGACTCGTAACAGTTCAAATTTATCTTTGTACTAGTTGTTTCTCCTATGTTTCAAATTCATTATTACAATTACGGAAAATAGTTTCAAATTGTATGAACAAGAAGACAAAGTCGGAAGATCCAACATCTAATTGTTTCTGCTGGTCGGTATTTGTAATCACTGTACACTGGAAGACTTGATTAAAAACAAACTCTCATTGGCTCATTTAGGCAGATGATCGATAACTATATCGTTCGCCGAAACTATCGTAGATACGTTTAGGAAATTATTCTTCGTGATCCGTTTGGTAACGGATTTTTTTGCAAAGTAATGTTTCAGTGAAATACCCAGAACTAGTCTCCAATAGTTGCTAAATGATTTGAACTAGATGTGTGTCATATTTCATGAGACGTTTGTATTTGTCGAACTTGTAGTTTCAGTGAGCTGTTTTAATTAGTCAGTGAACAGAAACACTGCACCTGTCGCGTGAAAGGTTCTCCCCTTACTGAGCGATTATTTTTGTTTAGAGCATCGCGTAATTGCGCTATTGTTTCAAATTTTAAAAGGAATTTTGAGTTCTGAAAACAAATCGTAACTATACTTTAATCCTGACTTCTTTTTTTGCGGTCAGACAGGATATTATTCTCAGCTCGAGTTGATAAATGATAAGTTATTAGGTGTCAAGTAAAGTTAAACAAAGTTACAATAATCGAAGTATTCTGTTTAATCTCCTACCTTTAATTTATCAAACCACAAAAGAATCTGAACCTGGTGTTAATGAGAAAGTTTTGTTCTTTATATAAATCGCCCTGCCGCTCTAACTCTTACCTAAACAGTTCAATTTATCTTTATTGTTGCAAAAAAGTTTCGATGAGCCGTTTTCTCCTCGTTGATAACAATTGATCTATACTGGGTGCGTTCCCGTAATTTACGAACTTGACAGAAAGTCTAATCAATACGTTTTACTTTGCCATGTCATGGTCTAGTGGATTTATCGCTGGAGAGGGAAAATGGACAGAGGTGAGGCTAGAGAATACTCAGTTATTTTCATAAAGTAACAGGTACAAAAACAAAAACCACGGTATGACATTGCTATATGGAATTTAGCTAACACTTTAGTTTATTGCGCAGTCGTGACTGTCAGATGGAAGCTTAAATTCCCCATCAGAATGACGATTGAAATCAGATAAAAAATTGATGCAGTTCACAGTGATTCAATGGTAAAAAAAAACTAATAATCTGGATAATAACAAAAAACTTAAGTTTGCATCGAGCTTTATATTGTTAAATAATGCGCCTTTGAAGTCGGTGATTCTCCAAAAATTTCAAATCAGGCTGATGTGGCTTTCTTGTTCTGAAAATTTAACAATCAGTATTGAAATCATCAAATGAATATTGCGTGGCTGGAATCACTGTATTTCTTGTTCTACACCCCACTTATAGCATATCTGTGGACTGAAGAACTGCTAGAAAAAAATATGCACTCCTTGAAACTGGCTTTGCTGAAAGCTCTTGCCTCACACAATGACTGAATTAGAGAAACTGTTGTTGATGATACATGGAGCTTAGCCAACCAATGATGATCGTACATACTATCAAACCGCGTGGCTGGGATATTTCAAGTAACTTGTTCTATCAGTAGGCAGGATGTAATTTGCTATTATAGCTGCTTAAGAAACAAGAACAAAACAAAAAAAACAGGTATGAATTTATTTAGTTTGTTCTTGTCATGACGATGCAACCAAATCTTATTCTTAGTTAAGTTACAGTAAGAAGTAAAAAAATTAATGTTAAGTGATTCAAATAGATCTTTTCTTGGCTCCTCTTTTTAAAAGATTAAAGTCTTCCTGTTATTTGTTGTTTAGAAAAAATATCTCATCGAAAGCCCGCATTACGTGCCTAATGCCGCGCCAGTGTTTATCCCAAAGAATTACGCGTCTAGGTTCTTTTAGGCCCATGAAAACAAATAAATTCTCCTCTAGGTCTGTTGTCATTCGTTCAAAACGGAACAAAAAACAGCATGATTGCTTTTCATAAAGATTTTTCCATAAAATCAGTACAAGGGCCGCCAAGAAGACGCGAGGGCGGATAGTTGCATTTAGTAATTCAGATTGCAAGACCTACTATCTCGGTACCGATCAGACAAGTTTTTCTCCTAAGCTCTTCTGAGTGAACAAGTGCTATCGATTCCAGACCGCGCAGGTGATAAACTCAAGATTACGATGAATGAGTTAGTATACTCGGCAAGCGATTACGTTTCAACAAAGTTCAACTTTGCTTGCACGTTGTTAACTTTGAAAGCCGGCAGAGAATGTCAGTTTTCGAAGAATATTTTGTTTCATTCACTTGTCCGCAGTTACTCACTTATCAATACAGTACCAGCTTCTTGAACGCAACGGAAAGCTCTGTTTTAGGATTTCCTTTAATAATTATCTCATGAGGGGCGCGCACCTGTTTGCTTACCTTACCTAAATAAAGAAAATATGATCTCTCATTTTGGTAATATCTTTCGTCCTTCTTGGACAGAATTAATCATTCTTACTGAAACGGGGTGTCACATCATTTTTTACATCTGGCATTTCCAAAAACTTTAATACTAGTGGCTGGTTAGATGTGTTTATAATAATAAACTTGAGAATTGTCTGGGGCAAAAACCTTTTAACTTGTTGCACTACCTATCGTGTTCAATAGTTGACCACATTATTCTGCATATGATAAAAAATTGGCCGCTTTACAAGCTGTTTAACAATAGCCTATGAGCCACAAACATGGCTTCCATATACAAAACAATTAAAACAATCATTTGCAGAGTTCTGTCCGATGAGAGAATTAAATCTAATACAAAGAGTTTCCAAGCCATATCAATCTTTTGAACTGTCAACATAAAGGTTCCTCAATAAAAACAACGAAAACAAAAGAAACTTGTTTTTATATCTAAACGTCGCATCATAACTGTGGTCAGCCTGGTTCATTATTTTTATGATTCCATCCCGCCAATTTAGTTCACGGCGGTCTGGGTTGATGTTCGTTTTCAGTCATTCTTGTGGGTAAAACAAGCCGGGTGGGTGCGTGTTGATGTGTTTAATTAACTGCAAAATTAGCTATTCTTTGAACAGAGAGTCCATACATGGCAGGTCGCAAAATCACCTCACACATAATAGCCTTAGAAGCTTCCAACAGCGTCAAGTCCATGATATTTGCAATAATTACCTTCATCGGGAGTTGATAAGCTCTCAACTTCTGTTGATGACATTTGTCTCTACAAGTGCAGTTCGTGTGAGGAGACTAGCAGTTCGGTTGCCGATCGAGGAATTTCTCGATGTCAACCTTTATCCAACGAGGTGAGGAAAAAAGAAACTATGTGAGAAATTGAATCCCAGGCGATAGCAAAATTAATAACGTCTCCAATTGAGTACAACTTTGACAACAAATTGAAGTAAGTCGGCCATGTACCATCAGCGTAGATTATTTAGGATGACCCACTCTCCTTTCGCCTTCCGACTACAGATGGCGTGTTAGACTCTCATGTGATCATACATTACATGAATAACCTGCGTCAGTGGGAGGGTTGTAACCTGTCTGATTAAACTAAGTTTTTTTTTCGATAGCTATCTTAGTTTCAAGTGCTTTCGCGAACTTTCAGAGACAATACCGTGGCCGATGTCCATATGTTATATTAACAAGGTAAATTTCGCTTTGTTATCAGTAGTCACTTTTTGTACAATTTAGGAGAACTCTACTAAAATCGGCAGATGCAGTTATTACCAGCCATATTTAATTGGCATACTCTCTGCAGCTTAACTACCTTTTTTTCGTTGTTGTTGTTCTTCAAAGATCAAATTTGAACCCGCCTCCGAACCGGTTACAATTTTTTTAGTTTTACCCGACCTTAGAAAGGGACAAAATTATCGTGACAAGAGTGGAAAAGTTTTTTTGTATGCACTTTGTAAAAAGGTGATAGGCAGGGCTAATTAGCCGAAACACAAACAAGTTAACTTCAGAAACTATTCAACTTAGTTGTCACGCTATAGGAGCCTTCGAGTTTAATTTTCCGAAACTTTTAAGAGTAAGAGCTCATGGATACTATATTCATTGTAAAAAGTTACGATTTAGGGATTAATTTCTTCATAAAACAATACGACATCGCTGAATGAATGTTTGATTACCAACTTCGGGGTTTTCTTCTGGGTTGTAACACGTTATATGAAAATTTCAAGATGTTTTCCTTTTCATGGGCGGTAAATATGGACTTCGTTTGTTTTCTGCTCAACTTTCGATCCGGTGATGCTTTTTCTCAGTTTTGGAGACAATTCTTAGCATCTACTTTATTTAAATTCGCTCATTTTTCGGTAACACCTTGAATTTTTCAGTTTACTACATCAAATGTGGTAAACTTTAAGGCTGGCTTTTGGTAAAGATTACTATTTTATTCGATTCAATCATTGGTTTGTTCGCAATTTTTTTCTTCGAACGGTGAATAACCTGAAACGCGCGTATAGTATTCGTTAAGTCTAAGAGAGTGCCTTCAACCTCTTGATTATACAGGAGGCACTTATCGTCCGATCGCGAGAGGAAGTAAGTTTAGCCGCATGCTGTCAACATCTTTCCCACCAAAACCAAGAAATACCTTATCGAGCGATTCCTTGCACTTAATGGCTATGCACAGATGAGGGAAAAATTTCTGTCAGGAGACTCGAGACTTTTGATCAGCTCCATCAATAGCCTAAGGCTCATGAGTAATAACAAAAAACTTTGTTAAGTTTATAATTTATGCATGACCCAAAAAAGTTACCTTCCAGGTGAAGGAAGCATGTAGCGGCGGTAGCATGTTTTGAATTCTTTTTTTTTCAAATTTTTAATGATTTCAAGTTGATTGAGTGGCCCTCAAATAGCGACGAAATCACAAGGAGAAATTTAAGATAATGCTTTCACAAAAACCTAAGCATGAAGTCGATATGGTTTCCAACTAGTTTGGGAAAACGCCTTGTTGCTGTTCGGTGGATGGTTTGCTTCAGCTGTAAACGGTCCCAAATGAATACATATCATGAAACAAGGTTATTTAAATGGTGTCTTGCCGCGGTTGAAGAAACCTGTGGTGAGTTCGAGAGAGAAATTTGTAATACACTTGAACATATTTGTTTCCCCACATGAGTTACTTGGCAAACCTAAAGCGACCTTAGGTTCAGAGTAGGTAGCGAGGATGAAGGAGGAACTGATGTTTGAAAAGTGAAGAGCATCCCATCTCGTGCACCCATACGGCAGGGTTCAACATGATGTCATCATTTCCTCAGTGGAAAAACAAGGAAGACGTTGAGATAATTCAATTTCCGCAAAAACCTAGATTGGAGTATCCAAATCCTCTCTCAGAAGTGACATGAGTTAATTTCCAGTCCACGTGTATAATTTGTGCTTCTACTTCTTCACATGACAGATAGTCATCAGACTTCAACCCTTTTCACTTTTAAAACATACACTATGGGTCGATTAAGAAAATGAAGGTGAGAAGTTGCAGCAAACATTAGAATAAAAGCTCTCATAAGCTAACAGGCTCGCTCAGTAGAGGAAAAACCGGGCGAGAGCCAGACTTTTCCACTTGCGGGGGATTACGGGGAATGGTCATCGTGGGGGAGGTGGTGGGAGAAAGGCACTAAGAGAGTCAAGTCTTGAACATCGCAATAAGAGTCTCAACGAAACACTACATACGACAACGTTAGCTCCGAAACGGACGATAACACGAAGTTTCCTCTTCAAAGTTAATAAATTATCAAAATTAAAACTGAGAGAAAAGCGGCGCCCGTTTCTGTGGGAGCGGGAATAAAAAGAAGTGCGTATAATAATAATAATAATAATAATAATAATAATAAAAAAAGTCTTTATTAAGCACTTGTTTAGTTACAATGATATGAACTCAGCAAGTATAAAACTAATTAACTAACTAAATTACTAACTGACGAACTAATAAGAGAACAAACATCTATTAACAAAAGTCCTCTTGAAACGTTCAGTTCTGACAAGCGGGAGAATATAATTATGGCGCCTCTTACGTAGCGTAACCATTGGTCGCTCTGGTGGCAAAAGGTCATCTAAAGCTGTTGTAAAATCGCTGTCGGTGATCTTGGCCCACAACTTCTTATCTTTTAGAATAATAATATTTTCAATCGAAAAAAGCTCTTTACAGTAGCCAAGCTTAAAAGCTCTCTTGAACAGCCTGTCTATGCGACTCAGATACTTATGATAATACGCGCAGCCCCATACTTCTACAGCATATGTAAATATAGGTAGAATAAGACTGATAAAAAGAAGATGAAGATGATCCAGCGGCAGTCCATAGAATTTACAAACACGTAAGATGTACAGACGACTACTGGCTTTCGATATAATATTATCAAAATGTAAATCCCAGTTACACGGATCAGATTGAAAAGTTACACCCAACAACTTCAGACATGGTTTACGCTCTATAGAAACCAGAGGAGCAGGTAAGGCCTCNTGTTTTTCTCGTTGCCATGTTCCCACCAATAACGTAGCTCCATTTTCTGCCTTTAAAAGCACACACAACCCACAATTCCTCTATTCGCTCCGACGAAGGGCTAACGCTCGAAACGTCAGCTTTTGTAATCGTTACGGTGGCCAATTTACCATTTCAACTTTGTTGATACATCCAAATTAATTCATAGGTAGCGTTTCGTGTGCAACATTTTGTTTATCAACCACTCAAATGGTGGACAATTATTAATAAGAATTTTACATTCATATTGCACAGGACCGACCCGTTGACGAAATGTCAGGCTAAAAGGAAGAATAATCTATTCAACGAACAATTAGCGATGTCACTTCCAAACCCAATGTGTTCGAGTAACCAATAGCAAAGAACCATTATCTGTGAGGAGGTCAGGCTAAAAGAAAGAATAATCTATTCAACGAACAATTAGCGATGTCACTTCCAAACCCAATGTGTTCGAGTAACCAATAGCAAAGAACCATTATCTGTGAGGAGGTCAGGCTAAAAGAAAGAATAATCTATTCAACGAACAATTAGCGATGTCACTTCCAAACCCAATGTGTTCGAGTAACCAATAGCAAAGAACCATTATCTGTGAGGAGGGCAGGTCATTCAGTGATTAAAAACAAAAATGGACACATTTAAAATGACATATTTCTCCAACTAAGTCTTAAAGTGTTACTCTGAAGTATTTGTTTGGAACTTAAACAATAATTGTTTGCCAAGTATCATCATCTGGAATTGTCCACGCTGCAAAACAAAAAAGCGTTCGGTTTACTTAAATCACATGCATGCTTTTTGAAAATTCCTATTGAATTTCATCTTTTGTTTCTGTACCTTAGCAGTCTGTAAGGTGCTGTGGATGGTCTGCAACAATTTCTTACACACTCTACGTGTTAGGTGTACTAATGTGGAAATACTTAACCATACCAACCATCTCCTGGTAATCAGGATGAGACATATCGTGTGTAAACCTTAAGATAATTGTCTTCTTTTGTTTTGTTTTTGACAGTGCCCTAGTAGTAGACTCCCAACACCACCACTGGCGTTTCTGAGAATCAGCAGATAAGTCAGGTTTGTTATGTTACTTCTTGCGGCCTACTTAATTCGCAATGATGAGTAAACTAGCAAAAGAAATACCTTTACTAGAAAATCATGTTCACAATTTTCAAACTTGATCATGAACTAAAGCTTTGAAGGTAAAATGAAACGAGAAATAACGGGTGCATACATTTTGTGTTGCCGGCTAAGAGTTAAGCTTCATATGATGATGAATCGACTCAAACTCAGCCAGGAAGTTATTTTTCTGTAGTAGACAAGATAAAGTGTAAGTCTCGTCATAAGTCAACGATGAAAAAACTGCATGCGTTAACATTGGCTGCAACTAAAAAACTATAAGGAAAACTTGAACTGTTGCCATGCTCTAATTTCGTGCTAAAATGCTAAGAAACACCATTGTTTTTTCCAGGTCGAATTATATTTAATATTTTCAATTGAATTCCCCAATTGAGTAAGGCTGATTAGTTTCATGGTGGCAAACGTACACCATTTCGATATTGTAGCCAGCTCCGTGGGGCCATAGTAACTCAATAAAAACATGATCGGATTCGTTGTTTTAAAATTTCTTTTATCAGTACAGTTGTCAAAACACTTTGCATTTTTTTATACTTAACTAAATTTGAACTGAACAGCAAAAGTTTGCTTTTCACATTTTCAGATCGACTGCGATTTTTCTGAACGTTTTGTTGCTCGCTCAGGTCAACAGAATTGCAGCAGTTGAATTTTTTCAACATTCAGTCTTCCATGGCAACGATAGGGTCAGTCAACAATGCCGTAATCCAATATCAGCCACATGGGTGTTGAGCCTGTCTCTTTCCTTACTCGAGATCTACTGACCCTTTTGGAAAAATGAAGTTTTCTGATGAGATTCTCTGGGTATATTTCAAAGCTTATCATTTGACCGAAGTCTACATCACACTTTCGTTACGCATTTGCGAGCCTACTGAGCTCGGACTTTTCTACTGTAAATTACACAGCCGAAACAAAAGAGATTCACCGAGAACAAGCCGCGTTTAATCCCCCTCTGTTTCGGAGTGGTGTCACATTCAACTTCAGTTTTTCGGTGGGAGATAAAGAGATTTACACGCGCCATACAGCAAACAACCAACCAAGCTTTCACCACTTCAAAACATTTTGAATTTCTTTACATGATTACAGTGAATAAAAGTCTCCATTTAAAATTCGCATAGATTAATCGTCGATGAACGGAAGTAGAAAATACTCTTCATTAGATCATTAATTTTGACTCCTTACTAGATAAGCCTTGGCAACCCATAGTGTTGTTCACATCCGCTCGGTTACTCAGTATCTCGATTAAGTTCTAGGAACCATAAAATCATGTGGGAATATGGGCTTCTTTCATCATATTTCTATCGTCTGAAGGGCTATCTCAGTCATTCTAAAGTCTTGTATTCTTTTCTCTTAAATCTGTTAATAAGATAATCTCCTTGTGGCAAAGAAAGAATGGACAACTACCCTTCCAAAACTGTGAGAGAGGAAGAATATGACTTGAAATATGGATTTACGGCAAATCTGCTGGTGGAAACCTTAATGACAAATGTGAACAGAGCAGTAAGCAATAACGGGATGAAAATACCGAAACTTTCCTCCATCAGCCATGACAGACGTATCAGGCAAGGAAGAGGAACTCACGTTGATAGAAATGGTAGTAATTCAAGAGTTTCTTCAGTTAGCTACCCGCGATTTGCAACGGAATTACAGAAGAAACCTCACAATAAAGAGCAAGATGGCGCTCCTAAAGACGAAGATTCTCCTTTACAAATTCAGATCACCTCTACCTTCTCACTCAATCCAAGCATCTCGTCTGACTCCACTCACAGCAAGAGTTCGGATGACCCGCAAACAACCTGTTTGAACTCCCACTCCCCTGAAAGTCCACCTCGTTTCTCCCAGTACTCGACTTGTCCCAGTTTGGATCAGCAGCACGAAACAACAGAAACTGACGCGGATGCTCGGTCATATTCATCTATTCCTCTGGAACGTTACAGAAATGGACATGATACAAGGCAAGATGAACGGGAGGGAAAGAGAGATGACCGTGGAAAACACCGAGAACGATGCTTTTTTATTTGGGATTATCCGAAAGGTCAGTTCTTAGTGAAAGGACGCAACGAAAGCGAAATGCTTCCACCAGGAACGAATAATCAGTCAGACAGTTCTTGGTGTAATTCACTGCCTATCACTGTAGCTGGAGTAACAGAAACTCAAGTATGGGAAGAATCGGTCGCTGTAGATCTGAAAACCAATGAAACACAACTGCCGCCACGCTTCGCCTCCGGTGAACATGTTTCTGAGGTAGTAAAGGATATCCATGAAAACGACGATATCACTTGGCTTATCGATACACAAACACCACCCGAGGTCTTTCCTGGAGAGCCACTGTTACTTTTGAGACATCAAACCCTGTCCGAAAAATCTCTCCACAGTTTAGATACAATGAAAAGGGAGGAACTACAACAAGATGTTGCACTAAGTGGCTGTCCTCGGATTCTCACATGTGAAAATAGTTCCGACTTCAAGGTAAATTGCGGAGGAAGACAAGGTTTGAAGAGAAATCCTCGCAACTCACGAAGATCCAAACGAAAATATGAAAAAGCACGGTTTTACCTCACACCAGCACCTGAACCATTTCAGAACCTAGAGATGCAGCTGGCTTTAGAAAATGACAAGGAACCGGTGGTGAAGATACCAAACTATTTCTTCGATGTCACTCCAGACAACAGAGCAAATCAAAATCCTCAGGATTTGAATGTTCAGGCAGTACAACAGAGTTGCCTACCCTGTCAAAAACCCCCACGCAAACCAGCCAAACCAGTACTCAGTGAGGTAAAAAATAACAAAGAACACAGGAAGATGACAACTTTGGAGAATACTTCGCCATGCGAAATTTTCAATAGGGGTACAAAAACCCTAGATGTATACAAACATTTGATTATAGGCCAAGGTGCTCTCAATTTAAATGAAAACACATCTTCTGTCAGAGGCTTTCAATTGTGCTCATCCAGAAACGAAAGACCAAAGTCTGCCTTCATGTCCCAAAGCTCACTAACCAGCGTTTCGTGTCCGCCACCAACTTTAATTAATATCTGTTCAGGACTAACCAGCCGAAATGAATATCTACCCCTGAAGAAAGCGGACAAAACAGTCGAGGGTGCTAGCATTTCTCATAGGGCTGAAAACTCTTTGAAATCAATGGTAGATGTTAGCTCTCTTTTTGAACGATCCAGTGAGTTCTTTGAATTTCATGATACGATCGCAAAAAGTGTAAGGAAAGCCACGTTTGAAAGAAACAACAGAACTGAGTCCACAGAATATGGATTTCCCTCCAGTAGTTCGCAAAACCATCAAACAACGAACATACCAAAAAGAAGTTCGTCGCAAAAGACGAACATTTCGCCGCAGCTGTGGAGTTCCAAAGCAAATAATCCTAGAGGAGGTAAGGAATGCCTCTCGCGTTCAGAAACTCGTGCTTCGAAAGGAATCTCGCATCATGATGTGGACTCCACTTACACACAGACATCTGCCGTTGGAAATCCGACAAAAGAGGTGCCCATTGCGGAGCGGAAATATCAGTGCGATGTGTGTGGACGAGCGTTTAGCCGAAGCAACACTTTAATCACACACAAGCGCATTCATACTGGCGATAGGCCTTTTCCTTGCGATTTGTGTGGTAGGGCATTCCGTCAACTTGGAAACCTAACTCGTCATAAACTGACTCACGCTTCTATCAAACCTCACGCCTGTCCACAGTGCAACAAGTGTTTCAGCCGCACGTCCAACTTAAACACCCATATGCGAATACACACAAATTACAAACCATTTTCGTGCGATTTTTGTGGAAAGGGATTCCATCAGAAAGTCGACATGAAAATACATCGCTACACTCACACTGGTGAAAAACCACACAGGTGCAGCAAGTGCGGTCGAGGCTTCAAACAGCTCACTCACCTGAAGTACCACATGAGAACTCATTCTGCCGTTCGAATGTACAAATGTGAACACTGCGGCAAAGGTTTCAATCAGAAAGGAAACCTTCAGGCACATATCTATGGACATACGGGAAACAGACCGTACAAATGCGACATTTGTGGAAAGGGATTTACCCTCACTTCTACCCTAAACACTCACAAGCGCACACATGCGCCAGATAAACCATTCAAATGTGAGTTTTGTGAAAAAGCTTTTTACCAAAAGAACGCATTAAAAACTCACTATATATCATCTCACCCATACACAGACGGTGTCTGCCTTCTTTGAAATGCCATACGCAAAGGAAGGCTTCACGGCAATTTTCTTCCAATAAGAGTCGACTTTTCCTTTCATTCTTCCACTTTGAAAGAATGAAAGCAGCTGTCTTGTATGTATCCGGTAACATAAACAAAATAAGTTCATTTGTCATTTTGGATTCAAGGAAAAAAAACAAAACAAACGAAACAAAACAAAAAAGCCAACGAACGAACCAACAAACAAGAAAAGAAACCCAAAAACCTGGGTAATTGATATAGTAACAATCAATTTGATTTTATTAGGCTGAAAATGCCATCATTATTCTTAATGCCAGTTTAAAAAAATAAAAACACGAAAAAAAGAGAAGATATATATATAAAAAAAAAAGATGAAAAAGTTCTGTAAAATTTAGCAAAACTTTATTGTAGTTGGAACGTATTATTATTTCTTCTGTACATATTTAAGTCCATAATGCTTGGTATCACATTCTTATTCACAGGAGAAACATACGTCTTCATACATAAATTCGTAGAAGTTAAATTACCTGAATAAATTGCACTTTGTTACAGTCATAAACGGCAAACCAACCAACCAAAAACAATTTAGAAATTTAGTCTTAAACAGGTGAGGGATTGGGAGTAGAGCCAAAAAAATTTCCTTGAATAAAAAGAAAATACTCGTAGCCTCTTAAACAGACACAAAGCAAACGAGCATTCCGTAAATAATTAAATTTTCAATTGGCGCAATGGGAACATCTGTGTTACAAGATATTGCACGTTTTTGATTTCTTGTCTTTGTTTCTTACTTTCCCCTCACTTGTTGAATATTTTTTTTGAGAAACCTTCCGTTCTGGTGTTGCTATTTCATCGTTTTTCTCAGCAGCTAAATCCTTTTGATTTGCATTTGCTTCGCTGTTGTCTTCCTTGGGGGAGGTTTTAGTTGAGTCTTCCACTGCTGAAAATGAACAAAGAAAATTTGCTATCTACAAAAAAAAGGATCCTACTTATAATCATAGAAACTATGAATGTGGTAATTGTAGATGTAGGAAGACCGTCATCTTCTATTAAGGAAAGAGTACGTAGAAATGAATTAGCGGGAATGCTATTGACAACAAGTAGCACAGTAATGATGTCAGCCTAAGAGCAAAAGTAACTCATTCGGAGCTATGTGATTCGTAAACATCTACACACTGTAGAGAGGGTCTGAGATAAAGGCCAAGCGATTAACTACTGTTCATATGCGGTTAAAAGGTCCGTCAACGTATTGACACAAAAGATCCATCCGCCAGATCACAGGAATGCGTTACCAAAAGAAAAACTGAACCTGTTCTCTGATTATGAATTTGACTGTTTTGATTCATTGTTTAGTCACTATTTGTTCACACAAAGGAAGATAGCATCCTGGTTAAAGATTATCATCAATAAATTAATATTCTCTGTCGCACTCTTTGCGATTTGTTCAATAAAATGTGTTGTTATCACGCCAATCAGAAACTGACCGTGGCTTCGCTTGCTTAAAATGACAATTTCACAGGTATGTTTCGCATTTTAGGACCGATAACAGTTAAGAGTTCGAGTATGGGGTACGTTGTGCTTCACAAGACGCTATTTCCTATCATGGCATCTAGTGAAGAGTTTTGAGCAAATGAACGATGACGGAAAATAGCGAGCAAACAAGATAGCTGTGGGTAGGAGTATGCGATGAATTGAGCTAAAAATTTAGCCCCGCTCCCTACACCCTTTCGTCTGCTAGCCATGCACACTACCAAATAACAATGATATTAATAGGTTCCAACCTTCCTGAGTGTTCTTATCCGCCAACGCCAGCCAGTTATTTTTGTTGTTTATACATCCATCATAAAGAGGTTTCAGACAAGGTTCCAAGTCATAAAATAACTGCAGGAAAAGAGTACATCATAAAGGCTATAGATGACATCACACCTTGAGTAAAGTTCATGACGGATCAGCAGAACAGTTTACCCTTTATGAAAACCACCAATGAAGCTCACCTTATACACTGGTATACAGATGAAGTCGATAAAACCAACTTGCATCTTTGGGAGCTCATCTTTCTTTTTTCGATCCATCATTGGCTGAAACGATATCCATAAATGCAGGTTAGTAGTTTGATATAGTAAGGACCAAACGCAGCGACGTCCTTCCGAAAAAACCGAGGGCCAGTATTTCCCAGTATGGTTCGAGCAAACCAGGTTAGTAAGTAGTTTATTACATGGCACTCGGAACAAACTTGTTTCTTTCAAAATTTCCGGCTTTCGCGAACAAAAATGCACACCTCTTGACCGTCTTCGTGGAAACAGAAAACAAGTACGAAACAATCAGAAGGCTGGGATTTACCTTAGGACTACCTCACCATACAATACTGAAGTAACCAGCCTTTAGTTACATTAAATTGTAGCGCAGCTTCAGGATATAATCAGTTTGTGATGTTCATCTGTTGCTCACACAGGCCTGAGATTCGCAGCGTGAAGATCGTATCTTCCTTATAATGCAATAGATTATAAGATACTTACAATAGGCTCAGAATTGAGTTGAAATCTCTCCATGTCACCTTGTTCGAAAAACTCGCTTGCAACTAGCTCAGCTACCTGTTTCAAAGCACACACAAAAAAGAATTTTGACTGCTCTTTCTTAAAAGTGCATCCGGAAATCTTCTTTGTGAATGAAGCCTTCACAAGCAAATAGCAACTATGGTGTGACTACGCTGTAAATTAATTGGTCTAAACCTCTTCATAGGCCACCCATTTCAGATCCCAATAATTCGAATTCGTCGTTTCTTGGTCTTGATTAGAGATTTGTTTGAACAATAACGAGGTACAAAAAGGGACATTCAAACACTAATCATCTCTTGAAGACCAGGTCAACGGCTACCTTTGAACCGCGTGTATTGTTGTATTGTGGTTACCGCAGGAATAAAAGTCTCAAGCCAGCACTGAGTACTTTTCTTTTCCCGATAGCCCCCATATCACAGCAAGACTTGTGAGAAAAAGCCAGAGAGAAAGGCGATATGTTAGTAAAAAAAAAAGAAAAACTGCGCTATTTCGCTCCTATGCGACAGACATAGGTAGCGTTTGAACTTCTGCCTCTCTCATTGTACACCTTTCTACCTAGTCAGAAGGATAATTCAGACCTGCTGTTGAACTTCCCACGGCTTAGTGATGGCTGCCACATCACAAGCTGTCATCATCATTGCTCTTAAAATCTCCCGGTTGGGTGGTGTAGTCCAGTCACTGGAGTCTGAATGAACAATCTGCTCAAAAGTGCCTCTCTTCCTGTAGGATATGCGACTTTTAATGAATGACATGCTCGGTAAACCAGTGTAGATTCCGAACAGTGAACAATCTGGGCTATATAAGACTTCGTAGATAAATTGAATTTCGAGATTTCATCTTACTCACTGCTTAACAGTACCATAAGTGTACAGTGGACAGTGTACAGTGTATAGCGATTTAGAACCAGAAATGGTGCAAAATGTACTCTTCCTCTAATGAGCAACATTTACTCTTAATGATATTTCATATCAGATGACTTTTCCTATGATTTCTTGTAGCTTTAATTTTAAATTTTTTAATTGTTTTGTGAGTAAAGAACTATTCTTTATCTTTAATATATATAATAAATATATATATAAAGATGAGTTTCTGGAGTCGGACTAGTTCAAAGCATTTAATTGCTACTCGGAGTTTCATGCTTCTAATGAAGCAATCATCAGGCAACTGGCAACAATAACGGTTACATGTAAAATGTAAACAGATAAAAATGACGTATCAAGATTGCCAAAGGTCCATACCAAGACGCACTTAATAAAAGTGGCTACAACCTGTCATTTAGAACATCAACCCGAGAAGAGCAAGAACCGTCAAAGAAACGTCCTGTGGTACAATCCGCCTTACAGCCAAAATGTTGAAACAAAAATCGGTAAATGCTTCCTCCAACTAACTGATCAGCTTTTCCCTAAATCCAACCCGCTGCATAAAATCTTTAACCGGAACACTCTAAAGCTGAGCTACAGCTGCATGACCAACGTAAAAACATTATCTCCAGTCACAACAAAGCCCAAATTAACAAATCATCAAAACAATCAGACGAAATCGAAATCAACAGCCCTTATCGCATTTACGCCCACTGTACGAGAGCTCAACGGACTTTGAAGTTTCAAAACGAGGCTATCGGGTCACACAGGTAAAACTTTCAAGTAAAATCGAAGCAAACGGCTACGTTTTGAGGCATTTTTATTCATTTTCTTAAGGATACAGCGTGTTCTCGTCATGGTTGGACATTGTATTGTGTACGGGTGCAACAGTCTATTCAGTGAATCGGCAACTGACGAGATCCACAAGATTAGGATCGAAACCGCGGTCTTGCCAAACACGTTCAACTATCAAACTAGAGGCGAACAAATCGGACATAAAACCTCTCAAATAGAGAACTTACAAACGACCAGATTAATTTACTGGCAAAGGGCTTAAATTCATTCCAACACCCGCTACAAAACAAAAACAGATCAGACAACAACTATTGTGTGACTTTGATCAGTTCTCAAGAAGAATGCGTCCGACTTACATACTCCGAGGGGAGGGGAAAAAAAACCATCCCTGCCACGAATCTACATGGATACCACCAATACAAACATCAGTAGCCCTTGAAACCTATTTAGAAGAGGTTAAAAGTGACCTCTCAGAAATAGAAATTACAAAGCCAAAAGATAATTTGCTTCCGGCCGAACGCAAGGCGCTGAGGGCATAGTATAAAACCTAGACTGGACTCTGGACTCCAGATATTTTGTCAAGATTTTTAAATGAAAAAAAAAAAGAGAAAATTTTAAAAAAAGGAAAAGAAAATGGAAATAAAAAATTTCAAAACTTTCAAAAAATAGTTTTGAAAAAGTTTATTTTGGGCGAGACGAGGAGTGTGCGACGAATTCTTCTATTCATGCCGTCAAACGAACGGCAAAGCATTATTCATCGCGCGTAAATACCATGCCATGTCTGCCATTGTTAATCGAAAGGAACGAGAAGGATTTTAAATTTCGTCTGTCAATTCAAAAGTTCTCTTACGAAAACTGAACAGCGCGAACTGTGTCGAACTGTGTCAAGTGTCAAACAATAATGGAAATCCGACTGTCTGCGGCATTTACCAGGACAAATTACACCGTCTCGCGAGGTAGTCTAACTTAGCTTCGC